CTGGCATTTACGGTATGTGTCTGCTTTCGATATTTGCTCGTATGACAGACATGATGGTGTTTCTGACGGCGGCAGCAGGTACGAGCGTGCAAAATTCAGGCTTCTTCTTGAGGCTTGTTTGGCTTCGCTTTTATGCTTCCGTGTGAAGACCTATCTTCTTCTAGTAGCAAGAGCAAATACCTTCAGCTTTCCAATAGCTTTGATCTACGGTTATTTTTGCGGACTCCCGATCGAATATGATCGAATGACGTGGTACTGTGACTGATGTTGCTCTCATGTTGCTGTTGCTTCAGCTCCTTCAACGGCAAGAAGCCACACGGCACAGAAGATTAGTCAGGTTTAATCCTTGATACCCAAAGAGCGAGACGTGAAGCCGGAACCAAAGCTCAACGTCAGTGCGGAAGAAGGCACGGCCCATGGGAGGCAGAAAGGCGCGCAGTTTGCGCACTTGACGATCGAGAAGTATCCGGGTTTGTGTGCCTCCGTCGTTGGGAATTGTGGAGATGGGCAATGCGTGGACAAGTTTTACCAGATTGACGCAGCTGCTCTGTTACATCTCTCTCGCTCCTGCAGAACCTGAACCTTGCGAAGTTCGCACATGAAGCGAAAGAGCAACTTAGATTATGTGTTTATCTGGATTATGTCAACATGAGCAGTACACTACGCAAACGGCAGCGACACGAGTAGACACTACCAATACAGTTCCATCTACAGGACCTGGGCATCCAGTGTTCCGTGGTGCTGTCAGCTTTTCACGACTGCGGAGGAAGTAAAGTCGAAAACCTATTCCCCGGTTCGCTTCACTGCCATCAAGGTTTTATTGACGTGTAGCTGGCGCCTCTCTGCATCCTCAAGGTCCTGCTCATCATCAATGAGGAGCGGCTCGTCATCAATCAAGAGAGGATCCAGCAAGCCCTGCCTCAGGTGGCTTGGCCCGCGGATGCCCCGACAGAAGCCGAGGGGCCCGGACGACGTCAACTCCCGAGGCCGCACCCACAACCACGTTCGTGGTGGCAGGCAGCAAGCTGATGTATGCTCCCGCGGAGGACGAAATCACCCAAAGTCCCCAAACAACAGCACACTTGTCCGAAACTTCAGCCACGTCGTGCCTGCCAGTCCGGAAGCAGCACAGCAGCCGGCCAAGGAAGACCTTCACGACTGATGACCCCAGTGCGAGTGTGTGCTGGCACATTACATCGAGGTCGCTCCGGCTGGACCTATTCTGTCGCAAGATCGTGGGGGCCGGAGACTTCATCTCTCCGTCCGGTAGAGCGTAACCAAAGCTTGCTTGGGGCACTTCCAGTCCAATATCTGCCAAAGAGGTGCCAGGAGGGCGCAAAGTGCGACCACGGCGATCAAGAGCAGCACCACGGCCTGGAGAGTTCCCGGAATCGAGAGCAATGTCAAACTCACTAAGGCTTCGAACCATTTGTCCATGACGAGTGGGTGATTGCCACGTTCGGGACCTCACGTCGCAGTACTCATTTGAAGCTTTCGACGACGAGTTATCCAAGAACGAACTTGAAGCTGAATCTTGAGGAGGGAGCATCTTCCTAAGTCGATTTTGTGGCAGCATCGGCAAGGTCTCCATTTCCAGAGGACATGCCCGCAAAAGCAGCATGTCGCATGAACCACAGTAGCCCTTCCCAGAATAGGCCCCCACAGTCATACTAGTAGCGTCCTGGATCCACAACCCTGCCTGTGCCCCATAAATCAAGATGGGTGGCCTCAAGTAGGACATGATTGACGATCCGTACAGCCGGGCCTGAAGCAGGGCCACGTGATTCGATTCGAACTCCAGACATGATATCGCCATCGAACTGCTTGACGGATTATCAACAGAGTGAGGCACATCTTCATATTTAACTCGAGCTCCTTGGAAACCACGAGATAGACAGCTAAGCTTGGAAACACTTCACCCACCAGCCACTGCGTGGACAAGTCAATTATGAACAAGTTCACGCCCATCTCTCCAACTGTCTGGCCTCTGCTGACTGAAACTGAAGGCAAACATAAGAGCACGGGGCAGGTTACGTGGATGATTCAGCATCTGTTGTAGAGGGTTCACGAAAGAAATCAAGCCGGTGCGAGACTCCAGCTGGAATTTCCTGAATGGTGCTTGCAGTTGGCATTACAAGCCTGAACAGCACATGCGTGGATGACACAGAGGCACGCATACTGGCTACTCGCGCCAACAAGGCTAAGGCCGCATGGTGATGCCGCACCTTCATCAGCCGTGGCAGCCTAGGTTGCATAGCAGTCGAAATGGTTTAAATATGCAAATCAACATTGGCTCGTGATGACAAGATCGGACCTGGCCCAAGGAGACGGACGAGCATCTGTTGCACGGCAGCATGAAAATCGGGGGCCTTACGCTTGGACCTTGGAGTGACCTTTGCATCCTCCTTACAGCCGCAGCGGCCAGCTTCAGTTCGGCCGGAAGCTCTTGCGCCACTGCCGCCACTGCTGCAGCCGAAGCGAGCAGGCACGACGGAGCCATGGTGGTTCAAGTTTCACATCCAGCCAACCATTTTAAGCTGATGTGTCCCTGTTGTGACCCCTGCCTGCCTGAATAGCCTGCATTGACTACAACAGGATATGTAGAGCATGATCCCGAAGTCAAGATGCAGCTGGCAAGTACTGTGGAGCTGTAAGCAGCCATAGTCTGCAGCCTCGCAGAGGTGCTGGATGCTGCTGGGCCGTATGGACGCGTGCACTTCCAGATGGTGCAGAACATGAAACACTTTAGGAGTTTAGATGCGCCTGTGGCGAAGATGTTTCGGCCGTGGCGCGGTGCAGGAAGCACAAGGAGCATACTGCGGCATACTGGCATGTTTCAGCATCCTGTAGCAAGAAATATATGACAGTACATTATGGCGGCCAATCTAGTATATGATAATTAGGATATTTAAATTTAGGATACAGTATCACCCCAAGATACAACAACACCCCAAGTTCCCAGCAACAACGAGCTCGGCCTTAAGAGTACCTTCCGCGATGTAGGGCACCTGACATTCATGGCGACAGTCGCAAAGTGCGCTTGCTTGGGCTTACGCTCTCACCTCTCTATGAGGGTTTAGGGTTTAGGTCCGTTTAGGTTGCTGCACGGGTTGCCGTAGGTTAATGTAAGGACAGCCAGTATTGCATATTCCGCACCCGCAGCCCCGCTGCGAGTAGCACGCGAAGTATGTAGAGGCGAGCTTCAGACTTGGCGAACTCTCTCTCCAAACGAGAATAGCACTGACGGGCCAGTCCTGAGAGCAGTAGGCGATGACTTTCGGCCGACCTCGAATCTGTCTGGAATTTAGTCACAGTGCAAGGCTCTCCATCCTTGCTCTTGGGTCGCTGGGCTTGCAGTGCTCAAGTTCCTCCCTATAGTTAGATGCCGACGGATTCATGCGCCAGGCAGCCCTCCATCTGCACTGCCGTGCTCTCCGGCATATGCCCAGGTGCGCGGCTGATGAAGGCCTTCACTTCGGTCTCATCCGGCATCAGCTCCCCGAGGATGGCCTCGAATCCGGGGCTGCAGCACTGCGGGCACTGCAGCGAGGATTAGGGCGGCGTCCCCCTCTGCCCTCTGCCCAGCCTGCAGTAGAGCGCTCTTGCCGGAGCCAACGCCCCCGACGATGGCCAGCAGCTCACCCCCTCATTTGCAGACCGCTTCGATCAAGGCTCTTGTGTCAACAACTCACACTGCCAAATTGAGATCAATCCCCTCTCCGTGTCAGAGGACATACAGCAGATGCTGAGATTATTATGGACGTGATGATCCTTCGGCTCCACTCCCACGTAGGACGTCCACGAGGAATCTCGAGATTCAGAGATCGTATTGCTGGGGCCACGGAAGGGTCTGAACCTCAGCGACATCCCCACCGCAAAAGACTTGCAGGGGAAATCGTTGCAGCAAGTGCCACTAATCCCATCTTTGACACTTAAGCGCGATTGCAAGAACGTCGGTACACGTCGGTCAACCATGCAAAAGGCGGCCATACGAATAGTGTGCAGGATCCACGCTGTTCCGGATACTAGAATTCTCGCCTTCCTTTTGCACACCAAAGCATCCACTCAGATTGACGTGCGCACAGTGTGATGCCATAACTGACGTCGTCTCCATCAGAATCCTACAAACCGTGCCATGCATACGGAATCTATGTCCGCCTGACCGGGCACGGCTCGGCAGCTGGGCACGGTGCTCCAGCTAAAGGTGCCCTGGATTTTCAGTGACTCGTCTCGGCCTGGCGGCTTTGCACGTGCTCTGATCCTGTCATCGGTCCCTCCTGAGGGTTCTTGACATCATCGTAACGGTTTGTCTCTGCCTCGAAGCTTGCTGTCATGACGACCCTCTGTCCATCGGAGACAACAGCCCCCGTTTCTCACAGCTAGAGTTGGGAACGTCTTGCAGGACGCAAACAAAAAGCTGTGCCACATGATTCGCAACAATGCGGTACGTAACGATCTGGACCTGAAAGCAAGAGTACCTACAATCCCAGTCCAAATGATTCAGGATGGCGGACAAGAGATCATAACCAAAGAAACTCATCAGAACCCCAAACCCCGAGCTGGGGACCTCCGGTAGGAGTCCAATGGTGCAGCCAGGCTGGCAACTGACCGTTCTGACAAACTGGGGGCCTGGGCAAACTGCTGTTTCCGTGCACCAAAAACAGATTACAATCCTTCTTCTTATGATTAAGACGAGTCTTATTAGTGCCTATTAGTGGTGGTAGAAGAAGTAGAAGGAGAAGAGAAGCAGAAGTAATGATAGTGATAGTAATGGTGATAGTGATACTAATTTAATAGTAATAGTAACTGCAATAGCAATAGTAAGAATAATAATAGTAGCTATTGCAATAGTAATCGTAATAGTGATTGTAATAGTAACAGTAGTGGTGGGAGTGGTCGTGTTCGCGGTTGTGGTCCTGGTGGTGGTGGTGGTGTTGGTGGTGGCGGCGGTGGTGGTAGAAGTGGAGGTTGGTAGCAGTGCGACAGCAGGACCAGAAACAGGAGGGGCTGCGTGTTTCTGGGGGGTGCTTGGGGGGGGGGTCAGATTTGGTTGTGAAGGGTCGTGGGAGCCGTTGGGGGGTCTGATCGGGGCATGGGGGTTCAGATTGGGCCTTGAAGGTTGTTTCTGGGTCGCTGCAAGGGGTTAGATGGGGTCCCAAAATCAGATTGGATCCTGGCGGGGGTCAGACTGGGAGGGCATGGGAGACGGCTCGGGGGTCAGATTGGGTAGCACGGCAATGACCCTGCTGGATTGGCCGTATTCCGAGGAGCATACTTACGTATCGGAATACCTAGACTCTACATATCATACACTATCACTAGGGGCAGGGGGTTCAACATCGCCCTTTAAAGCAGCAGCCTCGTGAGGTCATGTCTTCTGAAGAACCAACATACGCAGCCCACATGCTGCCCTGCAATCATGAATTCAACTTCCCAGGCCACCCACGCTTCTGGCAGCTTGAGAAAAGCCTGGATGCGGCTGACGCTGGGCCTGGCTGAACTTGTGTTTGTTTGTGTGCGAAGGTTCCCGTCCATGCTACATGCGGACAGGGCAGCTGAATAGTTTTTGCTTACGCGACTTGTTGATGCATCACCCGGAATGCGAAGCCAAAGCAGACAAGCAATGGCAGTCAATGTGACCGTCATTTGACAGATTCCCTCTTTCTATTCAACTGGGGACATCAGCCAGGGTGCGAGATTCCTGCACAACGAGCCAGGCCTCGATGCGGCGATCCGAAGCGCTACAAAGGCCCGAAGGCTATGATGGCTGGAGACAGATTCAAAGGTGCCATGTGCTTACTCTGTCTCAGCGTCGAGCTGGTGGCTAAGATCTCACAAGATCCGCGAAGACAGGCCCTTGGTCGGCATGGGCGGAAAGCATTAGGAGAAGTCGATCCACACGTCTGGATCTGAAGACTTTGCAGTTATGCAACACATGCAAGTTTGCAGGAGAAGCCAAAATGTGCAAAGATCGGGCAAATGCCTTTCGACCTTTAGATGCCGGTGAAGGTCTTGTCGCCATTCGGTTTGATGTCTCTTGCTGGCATGACCAGTCAGGTCCTTTAAGGCACCGGCAAAATTTGTAGGCTGGTGAAAATAGTCGCGACCTCTCGTTGAAAGCTTCGGAGCACTACTTCATCTATGTTCACTTGCAAGGCAAAGGGCATCGTGGGCACCGTAGATGGCCGCATAGCCCACCAGGCCGGCCCTCAGCTGGATCAGCTGCATCTTCACAGCTGCCCCAGCAAATCAACACCGATTTCAGGATTTTCAGGCCGAGGCCAAATAAGCAGTCGTGGAAATGCCACGAGCAGGGCAGTGATGCCCTGGGCACCATGGTCACGGCAGAGCTTCCATCTCGGAGAATCTGTGACTTCACAGCTTCGATCAATGGGCCTCAACTCAACCTGGAAGCCTTCTCATTGACAAATAAGACAATGGATGCAAGGCTGCAGTTTTTGTCGCATGGGGGCCGTGCCCCCCCCCCCCCCACCTGAACGGTGCAACTCCGCAAATAGGCATATGTGTACATCGGTGGCTGTTCTCCACTTGGTCTGACTCGCTTCCCACTTGCCCAGAGACCCTCTGACTCTCAGCCGGTCACGCACGTATAATGCCAGTAGGACCTGGCGACAGGCACAAAGCTCCGTAACGGAACACTCCGGATGCTCTGTGCCTTCCTTTCACTCTGGCCCGCCTTCCATCGCATTTCTGCGTGGTAAAAAGAAGTGAGAACAGGCCGAAACCGGGACCCCGAAAAGATGTTGGAGGCCGAAGTCCTCACAGCCCAGTGCGGAGGCTCGCCTCAGTCCCTCTACCTCCTTGTTCCTGAGGGCAGCGAGCTTCTGCTCCATGGCCACCTTGCATGTGCTCTCGGGAACCCCCGCCGGCTGCTGAACGTCTTTGACCCTGGATGGGGGCAAGGAAGTACCAAAGAGAGAGAGAGAGAGAGAGAGAGAGAGAGAGAGAGAGAGAGAGCGAGGCCGCTCTGAGGCTGAGAGCGAAGAGGTAGTGGGCAGCAGGACCCTCCAAAGTCACTCACCGCTTCGACTGCACGGCTGCCTGCCTCCCAGCCGTAGCACTTCACTACCCGCACCTCTGCACCAAGCTCAGATCCAAGCCGTCCCCCTCTCACACAAGCACTTCGGAAATGGATTTCCGACAAAACTCGTCGCAGCAAGTCTCTGCAGCCTGCCCGAGCTGGACAATGCTGGGGAGCCGGCACCAAAGAGCACCTCCCGTAGTGTCACCACGCGTTTGTCTGTACCTTTTATAGCAACGTCTCTGCCGGCATGCAGTGTGCAGAATTGCACCGGCGAGTCCGACGGGACAGTGCTGAGACCCTGACGTTCCTGTAGCATCAACATCACCTCCCCAATTCCACCACCCAAGACCACAGCATAACTCACCTCAGGCAGGCAGGCTTCATAAAGACAGCCGGCACCTTCAAAGGCCGACCAAAGCGGCATCGCGTGCCCCTACTAAGCTTTCTGGCTTCAG